TTGACAAAATGTTATTTTATGAAATTCTGAGGCCTCCATCACATTTCCTATCAATAGTTTATTGATCTCATCATTACCTTGTGCTAGAGGGCCTGACAGACTCATATGGGATCAGATATGAGTTATATATAAAGGATGCTTCCTATTCCTGAATATGTCTTGTAACTGAACAAATAACAAATTTAATTGATGCATCAAAGATAAAATCTGCAGTCTCAATATGCAAGACTACTTTTTCATCATACTGAGAGTCAGTAACCCTGTTGAGAGGTTCAGAAAAATCCATTAATATCAACAGAATAGTATACAATTCCAATTTTTGAACCAAATTATAAGGACTTCGAACCACTTTACTTTTCTGACTTATAACCTGCCTTTCCTTGTTTGTTTGCATCTGTATAAAATGTACGGGCTCCAGATATGGGTGTTTCCCAAACAATATGGGGCAGTATCCAGTCAGCTCTCTTTATAAGTTCAATTCTATCACTTTTGGTATATTTGCTGTTAATCGCTCCCAAAAAATTACTGCAAGCTCTTTGCCAAGGTTCACTTTCTGCCCATAATGTGTCAATTTCATCTGTAAAGGTACTACAGTTTCTGCTGGGTCTATTTTTGCTAATTGATGAAGTTTCAATTTTCCTTTTAAAATCATGTCAGAGATTTCTTCCACATAATTTTTTAACTTTTACTCTGTTTATTTGGTAGAAATATCCATTCCAATATAATATCTTCCTTCTGCATTAAAATTTCTGTAGGAGGCTGGGCGGTGTTGGTGCACGCCTTTAATCTCAGCACTCGGGAGGCAGAGGCAGGTGAATCTCTGTGAGTTCGAGGCCAGCCTGGTCTACAAAGTGAGTTCCAGGAAAGTCGCAAAACTACACAGAGAAACTCTGTCTCGAAAAATACCAAAAAAAAAAAAAATTTCTGTAGGAGAACACTCAGAGGGTAAAATAAACAAAATGCAATCAAGCTTTGTATCCACATGATCCACACATCCTTCCTATACTTTCTTTTCCACCAAAGCCAATTCCTTCTCAGCTTCAGGTGACAATTCTCTTGGACTCTGCAAGTCCTTGTAACCTTCTAAGGTTTTGAACAAATTATGCAGTTCATCATTTTTTACTAAAACAACAAATTTGCAGAACATTCCCTTAATCCCTTAGAAGGTAGGATTTCTGTGTGTTCAAGGTGACACTAGGGAACAGAGCCATGCGTGTTGGCACATGCCTTTAATCCCAGTACCAACCATAGAGACCTAGATATTTATATTGACAGACAGACACTGACAGAGACTTGCAGGAAGAGCAAGTGAGGTAACTGGTCTAAGAGCCAATGAGAGGGCAGAAAAGCAAGGCAAATAAGCCTAGGTAGATAGGAAGTCTCTCTCCTTGAAAGCTGCAGAGTTGGTGAGGTGAGGTTTGTAGCAGGAATCTTAAAGAACCTTATTAATAAAATCAAACCTGAGGCCAGTTATTGGGGTGAACACTGGAAGATGAGAGAGACAGAACAAGCCACAGCTAACCTCACCTGGCCAACTTCTCAGCTGGTATTGTTTCCTCAGACTGGAAGCTTCTGTGTCCTCATCCCAATGGCTTTCAGCTGAACTGCTGCTAGAAGCCTGAAAGCTTAACCAGTCAAATGCCTGCAGTTTCTGGTCCTCACGCCTTATATACCTTTTTGCTTTCTACCATCACTCCTTGGGATTAAAGGCTCGATTTCTGGGATTAAAGGCATGAGTCACCATGCTTGGCTGTATCCTTGAACACATGGATTTCTGCCTCTAGAATGCTAGGATTAAAGGCATGTGCTGCCACTGCCTATCCTCTATGTTTAATATTATGGCTGTTCTGTCTCTGACCCCAGTTAAGTTTATTAGGGTGCACAATATTTCAGGGAACACAATACCACCACATTTCCCCTTTTTGTCTAAAATTAAAAAAGCTTATAACTAATACAAGAAAAATTATATCCATTAAGTATATACAATATACACAGTCAAGATTACATTAATGATGTCTAGTGCATTAACATTTGACAGGTTCAGACAATAAACTCCATTATATATATTAACAATGTCCAGTCCAGTAACATTTTATAAACTCAGACAAAAAATTTTCATTACTTATCCTATGTAAGACAAGTAGTTCCTTTTTAAAATTATTTTTCTTTTCATAGTAGATTCAGTAGTCTACCTTGTCATTTGTATATCTTCCCCTATTTCTTTTTAGAGTTGATTCATGATCTACCTATTTATCCTATTATTTCTTCATCTTTTTTTCTCAGAGTAGATTCGATGATCTATCTCATATCTATATTCTCTTTTTCTTTTTGCTTTCTAGGGGTGAAGATATCTTTAGGGAATCTTGGAAAGAAAATTTTTGGGTTAATTGTCAAGTCCTGTATCATTTGTTCAGTCTCTGTGTATTGCGAAAGTGCAGGTCTTGTTTCAAATTCTAGTTCAAGTAGTCTGTCAGGCTGGATCATCTCAGCTAGCCATCTCAAAATTGTCCTGAGTAGTTTGTAGTCCAAAGTCGATCTTTTGTGGTGTTAATCAGATTAATGTCTTTACTATAGTCCATGTGGAATCATCGTTGTGGGGTCCCATTATCCTTTTGAAGATTTCAAAGTCACTGTTAGGCGTGGTCATGGTTCCCTGCAGACTTTTTTTTTTGCCACCTCTGTGGTTTGGAGTAATCACAGTCTGATAAATATCTGTCTCTTGGAACCACGAATGTTCTTCCCTAGAATAGAAAATCTTCACAGCAATTTCTCCCCACCATTTGTCTGGCCAAACTTTTCCAAACTGACCTTTGCTGATGCTTTCTCGTAACACAATGGTCCTGGCAATTCTTCTCTGAACAAGCAGTAGTAAACCTTTCATCCCAGGTAGCAGCATCACCATAGTCACCAACATGATGAGAAGCAGCCAGCAACTCAGAACAGCAGCCGCTGCCTCCAAGGTCCCACTGCCACTGTTTGTGTCTCGGCCCTGGCAGAAGCTTCTCCTAGGTTGGCCTCAAACTCGGGATCCTCCTGCCCCTGCCTTCTTCAATAAATCCTACCGACGGGCACCACCACAACCGGTCGAGTGTAGCTCGGGTCTGAGCTGGGGCCCACAACGCCACAGGCAAGAGACTTTTTCGTGAATTTGTACCACAAACAATGGGTGCCAGATGTAATAGGAATCTTAAAGAGTCTTATTTATAAAATCAAACCTGAGGTCAGTTATCGGGGTGAACACTGGAAGATCAGAGAGACAGAACAAGCCACAGCTAACCTCACCTGGCCAACTGAGGTTAGCTCGTGGCTTTTCATGTTTCCCTGATATCTCTAAGAATTTATTTATTAATACACAAATAAAATATCACCACAGTGTTCTTATGGCCTCATATGTGCTTCACATATGGAGAGAACAGGCCATTTACAGAAATAATATAGACAAAAACTTGCTAATCATCCTCAGAATAGTAAACCTCCATCTAAAACACCTGAACAATGTAAAATGCATTTCCACTGGTCCAGTCTATGTCAATCTAGAAGTGGTGACAAAGAGAATCCAATTTCAGGAAACAGGGGAATGAGCACCCAGGGTTGCTAATGATAGGATCAGGTCTCTACATTCCCAGCTTGGAATCCACTGCTCTTTCCCCAGTGCTATCTGAGCAGGAGCCCCGCTTGTTGCCAAAGTAGCAGACTCCACACCCTGGGGACCACACAACATGACAGTCAGCTCCATCCCTAATCCTAAAACAATAAGAGATTTGATTACGACTGTCAAATGTAATTCATGATCAGATGTGTCAATAACTAAAGACATTAAATTACATTTCATAAGAGAGGTTAAATCACCTACTGCAAAATCTATAGGGACCCTTCCAACAAGCTGCCTGTGCTTGTTTTAGTGAAACAAAATTGGACTGTTAAGGGGGCTTTGTTTGTGCACATGCTGTTGATTTGTCTTTTACAGGCCTTATTCATATTATAGCTAATTCCTAGCTACTCCTACAACAGTCCCAGTTCCTTAGACTTAAGAGATATTTATATCATAATGAATTGCTACAGTTTGTTCTATTTTAGTTTCTTAAAAAAGAATCATGTCAATGGAGGTGGTCACTGGTAAACAACTGGTCAAGGTCTAAAGAACTATAAGGGCATCTTGAATCAACATAACTTTATTCCCATCAGTCCTTGTCAAAAGATGACAAGGACCCTATAAGACTGTGAAATGACAGACAAAGGGACACTTAGAATGATTATTTCTGAGCAAGTCTCCAGGCTAATCTTCTCTGTCATCTCAGTCCCAGGGCAGCTTCCTGCTCCCCCAGGGTTTCTGACACACTCAGGATGTGGGTTGCAACACTGTGTTTCTTGCACAGTAATAGACCGCAGAGTCCTCAGAGGTCAGGCTGCTGAGATCCATGTAGGATGTGCTGGAGGATTTGTCTGCAGTCAGTTTGGCCTTGCCTTGGAACTTCTGATTGTACTTAGTATCACCATCTCCAGGATAAATCCATCCAATCCACTCCAGACTCTGTCCAGGCCCCTGCTTCACCCAGTGCATAGTATAGCTAGTGAAAGTGTAGCCAGAAGCCTTGCAGGACAACGTCACTGAGGACCCAGGTTTCACCAGCTCAGGACCAGACTGTTGCAGCTGAACCTGGGAGTGGACACCTGTGGAGAGAAAGGCAGAGTGGATGTCAGTGTCACCTCAGTCCCTGTTCCTTCTTCAGGTTTGGAACTGGAAGCCCCTTACCTATAGTTATTGACATGAAGAAGAGAATAATCCAGCTCCATCCCATGGTGAGGACCTTTGTCTTCTGTAACTATGGAGAGGACACTAATCATATGTTGTTCTGTGGTGTGGACTTCCTTGTATTTACTATCACAGACTCAAGTAATTTGCATATTCATGACCAGGGTACTTCTTAGATCAGGACCTAGTCCTGCTGGAGAAGAAAGAGGTAGAGAACAGCTGGGTCAGGGAGCAGGATGCTGAGGGCCTAGTCATAATCCTCTCTGAGGAAATGTGCAGCATCCTCCTTCTGTGATCCCTGTGCAGATGCTGAGGATGTAACATCAGGACAAAAGTTCTCAACAGATTTCAGACCTGAGAAAGTTGCTTCACTGTCTGAACAGGCTTTCAGGTTAGTGATTGTGATGATGACGATGATGATAGTGATGGGAAATTTAAAACCTGTGAAGTTATGAGAATTTACAGCCTCCTTTCAGAGATATATGTAATTAATATTTGCCATTCCAACAGATTATATACCAAAAACCTCATCCAAATGTCCAAAAGTAAACATATTTCACAAATATTTGCACAACAATTAATATAGCAGCAACATCACAATAACTAAATTATGGAAATAAACTATGTGTCTGTCAACAGAGGATTTCATCAAGAAGACATGTTTATGTAAACAACACAACCAAAGTCTTCCATCTGCAAGGAATATGGAAACTACATCAGTTATAGAAAAAGGGATGCAGCTAGAGATAAATGTATTCATTAAGAGCATCTCAGGAACACAGTCATTAAATGAGACTCTCATTAGTAGTTCTTAGATATTTCATAGTTACATACCACTAGGAATACAAATACATGATGAATTATAAGTGAAATTGTCTAGTAGAATAAAGGTAAAGTAGGAGGGGAAAGAAAATGAAGGGGAGATATTATGGGGAAATATATGCAGTATATAAAATACATGTGTATGAAAATTCTATACATATGTAAAATTGTTATTTTTATATTTAATAATTTGTATTCTTTGAAATTTTAACCCATGTATAAAATATATTATAATTATATCTACACCCACTATGGTCCACATGTTACTCTTGGGACCATAGATCTCTCTCCCAACTTCCTGACCTCTTTTGTTTCATTAACTCATAACACAGTGAGTCCAATAAGTGCTATCTATATACACATAGATATTTTCCTTATCCATCATAAATGTCAATAGATCCTCACCTTGGTGTGGGTCCTAGGAGTTTCTCTCCATCCATGTTATAGTTTTAAAAATTGTTATACTATCTTTAGTGGTGAGAACAGGGCAGGAAAGGACATAGGAAAGATCTGGGAGTCCCCACAACACCAGCCTCATCTCTACTGGGGATTCTTGGCTCCACTGTGCCACCTGTTGGTCATAAGCTTGCTGTAGGTTGGTTTATCATGGCTTACACTGAAGTTGCAGTATCTTTTTAAATTATTTTTTAAATTCCTTTTACGAAGCAAGAAGAGATCTCCCCTCATTGTATCCCTTTTAGGGTCCTACTTGTTTCCGAGCTTCTTTGGAGCTGTGGGTTGTAGTATGATTATCCTGAGAAAGAAATCAGAGACACATCACCCTTTACAAATAGCCACAAATAATATAAATAATATAAATATTATAAATAATATAAAATACTTCGGGGTAACTCTAACAAGTGAAAGACTTGCATGATAAGAAATTTAAGTCCTTGAAGAAAGAAATTGAAGAAGATATCAGATAATGGAAAGATCTCCCATGATCATGGATAGGTAGAACCAACATAATAAAAATGGCAATCTTACCAAAAGCAATCTACAGATTCAATGCAATCCCCATCAAAATCCAAGCACAATTCTTCACAAACCTCAAAAGAACAATACTCAACTTCACATGGAAAAACAGAAAACTTAGGATTTCTAAAACAATCTTGTATAATAAAAGAACGTCTGAAGGCATCACCATCCCTGACTTCAAGCTCTACTATAGAGCTATAGTAATAAAAAACAGCTTGGTATTGGCATAAAAACCATCATGTGGACTAAAGGAATCAAATTGAAGATCCTAACAATAATCCACACACCTGGAAACACCTGATATTTTACAAAGAAGCCACTACTGTACAATGGAAAAAAGAAAGCATCTTCAACAAATGGTGCTGGCATAACTGAATGTCAGCACATAGAAGATTGCAAATAGATCCATATCTATCACTACGTGCAAAACTCAAATCCTAGTGGATCAAAGACCTCAACATAAATCCTGCTACACTGAACCTGATAGAAGAGAAAGTAGGAAGTAGCCTAGAAAGCATTGGCACAGGAAACCACTTCCTAAATATAACATGAGTAGCAAAGACACTGAGAGCAACAATTAATAAATGAGACCTCCTGAAAATGAGAAGCTTCTATAAGGCAAAGGCCACATTAAATAAGACAAAATGAAAGCCTACAGAATGGGAAAAGATCTTCACTAACCCCACATCTGACAGAGGGCTCATCTCCAAAATATATAAAGAACTCAAGAAAATAGAAAGCAAAATACCAAACAATCCAATTAAAAAAATGGGTTATGTATCTAAATAGAGAATTCTCAACAGAAGAATCTCAAATGGCCAAAAGACATTTAAGGAATTTTTCAACATCCTTATTCATCAGGGAAATGCAAACTAAAACGACTCTGAGATTCCACCTTACACCTGTCAGAATGGCTAAGATCAAAAACACTGATGATAACTTACGTTGGAGAGGATGTGGAGCAAGTGGAACACTCCTCCATTGTTGGGGGGAGTGTAAACTTGTATAGCACTGTCTTTCTTGAGCAGTAACACATCCCCACAGCTTCAGTGTTCAAAAAGCTTAGCTTCAGAGAGAAATGGTTGCTGTCAATCTGGAGATGCTGACTGGATATATCAGAGATTTATTTTAAGATATTTCCATACTATCATCAATGCCCCTCTCAATACCAGTCTCCTCCCTGGTGACAGTTGGATCCAACTCTAGCAGTTCCCACTTGTAGTAAGGCCACAACAGTAAAGAACAACAGGAGACTACATTCTTCAGACTATACCTGGAACAGAGCACCTGATGTCAGAGAACCACAATGAGTCATAAACTCAGATGCAGCCCTCAGTGTATCCATGTATGAATTCTTGAGACATGCAAATAAAGGGGTCAACAGAAAGGGGATAACCCACTGTGGTACTCACAGAAAAGTTAACAATTATAACATGAGAAAATATACTCACATTAAGAAGGAAGTAGAAATGAAGCAAATATATGCTGTGAATCAATCTGTTTCCCACACTGCATTTCATGCATTTAAAGGAATGAGGGTAGAGAGGAGATCTCCTTGACAAGAATCCTCTTGGGTGGAGGCTATGTATACTTACAAGATTTTATCTCTCCATGTATATCTTTCCAAGTCCACAGTCCTCTTATTTTTGGACAGGGCATGTGTTAGTTAAGCTATTCAGAAGCTGAACACTTTCATGGATTTGAAATATGCTCTCAGGAATGGGGGAATCCAATATCACTATGCAGGGTTACATGTACATATGTGTTTAAATGTCTGAACTATAGCTACAATATTTACACAAAAAATGCACACTACATAAATTCATGCTATTCATGTATATTTTGCTTTAATTTTAGCTCATGGGTCAGATGCACCTAATGTTGAAGCATAAAAAAGAATCTAGGACCAGTCTTTTGCATATCTCCTCTTCTAGCACTGGTTAGAATTAATATATCTTGGGGACTGTCAGTCCTCAGGGTAACATCCTCTTCTCATGAAAGAAGAATACTTATCCCTACAATTAAGGTATTGGATGTTTTTTTCTTGGAGTTTTAGAATCTCTGTTGGGCTAAGTAATGTCTATAAAGCTACATTTAACTTTAGTACATAAAATGTTGATGGCTATTATTGGTTACAATGGACAGGAATGCATGCCTACTAAATAGTATGGACACTTTCTCCTCCTACAATGTAATCCATTCACAAAATTCTGGGCCCTGTGATAATATAAATAGATACTATTGGCTTATTCTCCTGAGGTAAAGTAATATTGGGATTATAGTATGTGCAGATCTGTTGCAACAAATGTGAAAGTGAGCAGTTCTCCTTAAATACATCACATATTGATTTCTAGCTTTTTATGATTCTCTCTTTACTCTGTGGACTGTTTACACTTCTCTGGCTGATCCCTGATTGCATTGATCATAAACCCTTAGACCTCCCTACTGTAACTGTGCTGTATTTTACTCTTCTAAACACCACTTAAGGACCTGAGCACCACTTGCACAATTCCTGAGGCCTTCCACAGGGAAGACTGTGTCTGAAAACAGGTTCTCATCTCTTCATTCTGATTGTCTCACAGGTTGATGCACAGTTTCCTCAGTGGCCAGATATCTAAGACACAGAAAGATTCAGTTTAGAAGATGTTTCTAGACATCTCTGGAATGTCCACTCTGTAACTTACCTCTGAAGGAAGTTACAGACAACCTCTGAAGCCCATTCCTCTGGGAAAATGTCATAAATCAGCAACACTAACTACTAAACAGCCTTCAGCAAGGCACTGAGGATGACTGTGAAACCCATGTATCCCAAAGACTGGAGGAGAATGTCTCATGTCACCATGTTCGCTGTTCTGTAACAGGCTGTGATTACAAGGCAGGGTATTGAGATTGGGGAAGACTATGAATGTGAATCAGTGATCACTGCTTAATCTCAGAGCCTATACCTAAAAGTTCATAAACATAAACTGGTGTGATGAATAAAACTTGTTAATAAATATTCAACATTAACATTGGTCATCTACGAATTAGACATTGATGTGAAATGTGAATAAACATTTCTGCTCCAAAGTATTGACTCAATTATGGTGGACACATGCTCACATTGATATCAACATGAGAATGAATGGATCAAGTTCACTAATATAAAACTCCTGTTCTCTGAATCTTGCATGCAGTGTGACTAGGAAATTCTTCATGTAATAGAACTAATCCTTAGTCTGTTGTTCCTTTCATCGGTACTTAACCACAAATTTGAGAAAGCCTTCAGGTTATTCTTCCCTGTCCTCTCAAACCCAAAGCAGCTTCCTGCTCCTTCAGGGATTCTGACACACCTCAGATGTGTGCTGTGACACTGATCTTTCCACAGTATTATATGTCAGAGTCCTCAGATGTCAGGCTGTTGAGCTCCATGTAGACTGTGTTAGATATTGTGTCTGCATCTAATGTGGCTCTGTCCCGAAACTTCTGTCTGTTGTTTGTTGGACTAATGCTTGGGAGTATCCATCCAATCTTTTCAAGCTCAGGTCTAGATTCTGCCTTTCCCAATTCATATAGGAAATGGGTAGCTATCTGAGTCAAAATCTTTGCAGGAAAAATTTACTGAATCTCCAGGACTTCTCAGTCCAACTACAGACTGCTGC